TAGATTTTGCTAACAGGTGCGGACAATGTTTATTGTTTAACAAGTGACGAAAACAGCAGTTTTTAAAATATGTAGGTAATGTTTTCAAGTTACAGAAAATGATTTTTGACGAGAATTGTTTATTTTTCAATGGTCAAAAGAAAACTTTTTGCAGATGCTAGTTTATTTGTGCAATCAAAGATTTGGATTTTGTTGGAATTTTCGACATTTTTATACAACAATCATAAACAGGATTGCTCGTCCTAATAAGGCGTACGTTCACCAATTCTTGAGCAGGCAGGGTCTGCGAGTGACGTCGCCACAGCTGCTAATAGTGATGACGTCACCCGCAGACCTCGATGCAAAGCTTGCGATTCAGGCTGTGCTCGTGATTTGATTTTTTCGTCGATTTTAAATGTAGAAAAGGTTATTTTAACAGGATTTTATCATTTAGGAATTCATTTTTTTGTGTGCTTGAAACTCGAATAATGCATTTTGCTCCAAGTGTTTAGGTATGCAGCTGACATAACAGTTGGCAGACACTTTTAGCTCAATAAGCAGTCCTACTAGGGATTGAAAACAGGATAATCTCTGCCATTTTCTGGACACCTGAAACTAAGATGATTCGTTTTTTTCCTACGAATGTGTGGAAACAAAACTTTTGGCATGCACAAAGAGTAATATATCTTTCCGCGCACCCTTGAGAAAAATTGTGTTTCTTAAGCCTAGTACTCATAACCGCGAAATTCACTCTTTTTCAACATTGCTTCGACAATTTGACGTTTGATTCACACATAGAATGGCAAATTTCGCTGTTATGAGTACTAGGCTTAAAACTTGCGAGAAATGATATTTCCCACACTTGTCAGAAAAATAACTACTTTTTTTCGAATTTGACATGAAAAAAATTTCCGCCCTGTAGGAGAACAAACGAGTTTCCAGTTCCACTGCAACCAAAAGGCAGTGCTTCAAAATACAAAATTTGTAGTTTCAATTTTATTCAATTTTCAATTTATTGAATCATAAGCAGTATATAATCAAATTATGAAAGGTTATTATATTATGTGTCCACTCAAAACTGAAAAGGCCGGAATAATAATAATAAACAACAGTGGTGGCGTGGCGTGACGCTGATTCCAGTCCAAACATGAGAATGCCAAAAATTGCAACGTCGCATATAAATTGTTTTGGGGCTACCACCAAGCTCTTGTTTCCTCGGCCTTCTATATAACCGGAAAAAATACTTTTCCTGCGAGCGTGCGGATTGCGGAAGAGTGCCACGCCAAGCGTTCTTTACTAGTGCGAAAAGTGCGACTTTTCCTCACGCGATTGCAAACGACGCATTGGCTTTTAGCATTCGAAGAACCTTCAGATAATGATGCTGCCAAGATTTTCATAAATTCTACTTTTTAGGGAGTGAATGGCTATGCCTATGACAATGATTAGTTAAATTAATGCTTTATTTAATTTTAAATATTGCAGTGTTATACATACAAATTTTTTTGTTGTGTTTGTTGTTTCTAGAGCCGCAAATGCAAAAGTGTTTCCCGTTGATTCAATGAAAATACAAGAATATTGAGTTTTTTGGTGTGTCAAGCGGATAATTTTTTCTGATACCTAATATGCAAGTTATTATTTAAATTTGAATACATAGATAAAGTATAACCATTAATCAATTGAAAATCGCATCTCTATGGTGACCAGGGGCGTAGCCAACAGGGGGGGAGACGGGGGAGCCTCCCCCCCAGGCCGCAGCTGGCACAGGGGCGCCAAAATAGGCAAAGTGAAAAAAAAAAAAGGAAAAAAAAATAGTCAAAAGGCAAGTTTCCGAGTAGGTAATTAATAGTAGATTATACCACGAGTCAATGATGATAGCTATTATTCCCGAGGAATATTTACAAACTGAGCCGCGTTAGCGGCGAGGAAGTAACATTCCGAAGGAATAATAGCCATTATTGCGATTAGTATACTCTACTTTATTTACCACAAATTAATTTATTTGAAATTTTCTTTCCAAAAACGCTCTTTGTTCATCCATCTCAATACAAATACACAAGCACTACGCATTTGACACTGACACTTTTGAGTTTGTTCAGGTATATTGTTTCCATACTACTTATTTAATTTGAGATATTTTGTGATTGGTGTGCAAGCGGGAATAATAATTATATGGCATTATATTGTCAAAATCACAAATATAAAACTTACATTATATGTCAGTCGTAAATAGATACTATTTTACAACTATTATAATGTGAACACGCCCCGCCGGTTATTGTGAATCCACTCCAGTCAAGAGTTCCATATTTCTATTGTGAACACGCCTCAGTCAAAAGTTTCATCGTCAGATTAACACATGAAATATATAGGTTTATTATGATTAAAATATGCCCCAAACATTGGCTCCCATTCTAAGATCACTTGCGGACACTTGGTGCAGATGTGCCATATTTATAAATTGTCCTAAGTTGCAGGGAAAATGGAATTGGAAATTGGAAAAAATATATTGTAAATATAAAAACCTAAATAGGTATATGTATATACAATTATAACATAAAATATCGTGGTGCTTTCCAAAATTGAATAGGAATAATTATTATGTAAAATAATAATCTATTATCACAATAAAATTTGAATAAGAATTTGTGCTAGCTGACAATGGCAGCACTGTCCAAAATCTCGAAACCTGGTTGTATTCGTCTGGGAACGCCCACCTGAATCGTTTTGTCTTTGTTAAGATAACCAGATAAAGAAGGATGCAAATATTGCCGGAGCAAGCCCGACCATAATCGCGAATGCGCTCTAGTATTTATAGTGAGAAATGTCAAACGGGATTCGTTGTTGATTGGTCCGCATTGTCTGCAATCTTATCCCCACTCCATGTAGTTTATTCATTATTCCACTATTGACGATTAGGATTGTTGGCCGCAGAAACCAAACGATTTTATGAATGACTTGCCCTCTCTATTTATATAGTGTTACTCTAAGTTCCATCAAAACGGGATAACGGAAACTCGGTGAATCACCGGCTGATTCGGCAATGGGAATTGCGTCTGCGAGCATAATGAGCAAAATTTTACAGAAGTCAGTGATTTGACTCGTGAAAAAAGATAAATGGTGAATAAGTGATCACGTGACGTCCGTCAAAATTCGCTCTTTTTGCTCGTAGATGCAATTACCGAACCCAGCCACCGACTCGACTTTCCGTGACGTAAGTGACATTGTAACGTACAGGGTTATTCTTTATAAATGTTCCCTCTATCTTTCTTTTTTGACATTTTAGAAAGAAGTTTTGGTTTTCTAGTTGAAACATTTTTTTTTTAAAAACTTACTTTCGCATATAAAGGGTGTTTCAGAAAAGCTGGTCGTGGTCCAACTTATTTTAAATGGAATACCCTGTATATTATCGAATATTCGGATTCTACGTAAAATCACAGCATCACAGCACATTATACAAAAACAATCAGCTGGCTAACTCGAGCTTTGTATCCTCAAAGGGCGGCGTGCGCAAAAAAGATGCGCGTTAAATCTTGTGCTTTTGCCGTAGTCGTGATAGGCTGTGTCCTCAAATGGCGGCGTGCGCAGAAGAGATGCGCCTGAGAGTTAACCTGCTGTTTGTTTTTGTATATGCTGTGGGAAAATTCTGAACAGATCTCATGTGATAAACCCTATACCCATTCCTATACCTAAGTTCAACTGGAAATATTAATAATTGAAAACTGACTTTTTTGCAACTTTGCCCGGCTGTAAGGAATTTTCAATCATGGATTAAATTCAAAGTTGGTATCGAATGATAATTTATGAAAATCTAAGATAAGAATGTCAGCTCGGTTTTGCTCTTGTCTAAAATTAACCGTTTAGGTTTTAATTTAAAGTCTGTCAAAGTTGCAAAAAAAATTTTTTTCTGTAACGGGAAAAAAATAGACTTTTTGTAGAAAATGTCACTTTTTCTCCCACGGGAAAAAAGTGATTTTTTTTTTCCCACGGGAAAAAAGTAACAGGTACCAGTCAAAATTTTTTCTCAAAGGGAAAAAAGTATAAGTACGGTCACAGAAAAAAAAGATGTATAGATGGAAAATGGTGAGATTTTCCCGTCCCAGAAAAAAATAGTGTATTGTACACGGAAAAAAAGTAAGATTTTATTATAGCGCTTGCTGTGTTGTCTCCCTCCGCTTCGCGTTGGGAGAAAAACCACACCTCGCCCTAAAATCTAGTACTAGTATAAGAAATAACTATTAATTAAATAACTATTTTTCGCCTTTGAATTCAACTGGCTTTGCGGCGCTTAGGGGGCGCCAGATCTCAGTCTCCCCCCCTAGAGGTAGTCATATCGCTACGGCCCTGATGGTGACTACTCAAAATTAGAAAAATACCCCTTATAATAATATAAAATAATTTTTATATTTTTATGCCTAGTCCTGGTACACTATAACAAAGACGCCGCACGCCGGCAAAAAAACTTGAAAATTGTTGGCGATGCCGCTAGGCTTTGTCACTTGCCGACAAAGCTAAGCCGCTCTTGTTGACAGTGTGAGATATTCTCTTTAGAAGTGGACAAAAGTATAAAATTACACAGATAATTGAATAAAAATCAATTTCAAAATTTAATTTTTAATAAAGGAATAATAGTCCCATTCAAATATTCATATTTGATATATTTCAATAGTTTAAAACGGAATTTTAAGGATTACCTACTACATGAATTTTGCCCATTTATTTAACGTATTAACTCCACTGTATTCTAGAGGTAAATCAGCTAGAATTTCGGGGCAATGGCGTTCGTCATTTCAGTTTTTATAGAAATACCTATCTGGAGTATGTTTATTCTTTATTAATCAATTTGTTTTCATTTGTCATGATAATAATATTTAGACGCCTATGGATTCCCACGTGACTTCAAAGAGATCAACTGAGCCGCCTTTTTTATGAAATTTCAATTAATAATGGTTAAACTATATGCAATTTTATGCAGTTTTTCAGTTAATTTGAAAAGCAAAATTCATGCGAAACCTAGATCATCGTCAGGCTTCGGTCACTGTAGCATACATTTTCAACATGCGGATACAGTCATTATACAGAAGTTTCTTTGCATCTTTGGCATATACGAAGTCGATATGATTAAAAAAGGGCCAAGGAACTATGTGTCCTACTGCACCAGGTGTTTCAGCTATCAATCGTTCGAAATCCTAAAAAAGAAAAGAACAATTATAATAGGTAAGTTATGTTATACTTTCAGATGTTTGATATTGTAATTTTTTAGTTTTCTAAGCAGTAGGTAATTATTAGATGTAATCATGTTTGCAAACTGTCTGAGACTCTTGTGAGAATACAGACCTTTACTAAGCGATTATTTCATTGGGTAGGTACCTACATTATTCAGGCGATGCCAGATTCTGATAATTAGTTTGCAAAATGTCGAAGTCTCTTGTGGGAACGGCCCTAAAAGCTCTATAGAGGTACCTATCTACTGTATGTGAAACATTCACTAATTTAAAAATCTTGGAGAAACTAGGAAGCAAGCTATTATCCCTTCCTATAGAGCAGTGGTTCCCAAACTTTTTTCTTTTGCGCCTCCTTTCTGAAATCAAGAAGTGGTCGCGCCCCTTTCCTTCCCCCATTATACAAAAACTTTTTTTTAACTTACTGTAACTCGTCTGAACTGGACTTTGGAAGATGAGGAATGGGCATGACAGTGGACAGCGAGCGTGCGCTGTAGCAATAATCGCATGGCAAAGCTGCTTTGGCTTAGGTATGCACTGTTGCCGAATTGTAGACATCTTTTTTTTAAATTTAACTGATTTTTTATTTTAAAGCTTAAAATTTGTATTAATTTTTTAGGAGACATGCGTTGGACGAATTTAATGAAATTTTCACAGTCTGGTTGACACTTATATCCTTATATGGGGTATCTTTTGGACTGTCCAGAGTTGACCCGGAAATTTCAGGAGCGTCCCCACAGGTCATGTCGGATGTTTTTTTGCACAAAACACATCGTTCAGTAGATTTATTTTTAATTAGAATGCTAGGTTTGAGGAACAGCTTTTAGAAGTAATAAGGAACGGCGCAAAAATAAAACGAGGATAGGATGATGAGTGCAATAAGATTATACAAACTCAGACTACTCTGCAAGTAGACATAAAGATAATCAACGAAGCAGAGAGTCATAGAAGAGGAAGATTCGTTACCAACAAAACCACCTACCAGTGGCGGCTCGTCAAGGGAGGTAGTGCCTCCCCTGTTAAAATGCTACAAAATCTGTTTTTATATAATTTTAAAAGATTTTTCAAGTGTTGTTTTTTTGAAGGCTTAAAATAATCGTTTTTGGGCGTGGCACTTGAAAACATTTTTTGCCTCCGGCGGCGCCGCATTTTTTTTTGTGCGGGCTGCCTCCCTCAAAATAAAAGTGTGTCAAAAATGCTTCACAAGATTTGATAGTTAGATAGTTAGATAGTTAGACAGAACATGTGAAGCTAAATAAAAGCTTGTAAAAAGATCCCAAACCCCCAGTTGCAACAAACAACAAAATAGGTTGTGACAGTATTTTTTCTACTACCGTGCGTGAAGTACTCACTTTATGCACTATTCCGAAGACGTTAAATTTCACTTCACACACTAGTGTGTAAAGTAATGTCAATGACAGATGTCGACACTGTCAAATTGGTATTTTTCTGGTAAATTAGTTCACGCACTAGTGCGTGAAGTATGTGTCTAAATTTATTTTTCTACTACCGTGCGTAAAGTACTCACTTTACGCACTATTCAGAAGACGTAAAATTTCTCTTCACGCACTAGTGCGTAAAGTAGTTCACTTCACACACTAGTGCGTAAAGTAATGTCAATGACAGATGTCGACCTGTCAAATTACTATTTTACTGGTAAATTACTTCACGCATTTTTTGTATGCAATACGTGCGTGAAGCACCTTTTTTCACGAATGTGAATTTTGACGCACGAGTGCGACAATCAAATTATTTTCTTACTTTACACACTTTTCAAGTAGCACATACATGTCCTGCGACTACGAATTAACCAAATGTAACGTTGCCAGAAGTGCAGATACAGTGCAGATAAGTGTCCGTCAATGATTTTTCGTTAAAATTACGTCGTGCCGTCGTCCCTAATATGTGGTCAAGAAGTCGGACCTTTATTTAGCTAAATTTTGACGTAATAAATGAAAACCAGTCTTAACGTTGAATTTATAACGTCAATCCGTCGTCCTCTTGTATACTTGTGACCTCTGAAACGTTTTTTAAACGTCGTCTAATACCACCAATCATAAGGTAAGATAAAAATCGTAAAATGGACGTCATAATATTGTACCAAATTCAACTTTGCATTGAAGACGTCAATTCGTCGTTATCTTCATATCCTGTGACCTCTGAAACGTTTTAAAAACGTCGTCTGACACGACCAATCATAAGGTCAGATAGAGGTCTTAGAAAAACGTCCGGCCAACGTTAAAATTGGACACAGGTAAAATTTGGTGCAGCATTTCATACTTTCTGCGTCGTTCGTTAATAAACTGTCATCAGTCAAACCAGAAACATAAACAAACAATAGACATGGCGTTACTGTGAAAAGTTTTTAACAATTTGAATAAGTATTTGCTATTGTAGTTTTGATATGATATAGGACAAAACAGGAGCTTCAAATACTTATCCACATATTACAGAAGAAGAATTTTTTTTTTAGATTTAGTGAAAAGGGAGAAATATATTCCAAACATGAAGGAAATGGAGCAAGAAGGGAAATTGGAAGAGAACCATGTAATCTCCAATTAGGAAATTAAAAAAGATTCAATAAATATCGGGTTAAAAAAAGGAAATATTTCAAGATTTTGTTCATTAAAAATAAAACATTTACAGTTTCCTGAAAAATTTCAAATAAATGAGAGCGTTGAAGCACCTATACAACTGGTTACGATAGGTTACCATATGGGACCTATAGTCAATCTAGGTTTATATGTTTTTACTATTTTATTACCTATGGTCCTATGTTTATATAGATGAAGTCCATTTTCATGACGAAAACACGCATTAGGTTAGGATAAGGTGCAGATTATTTACTCGACCATTTTATATATCGCAAGGTCCTATCTAATCATCCGCCGTTGCTGCACGTTTAATAAAAATGAAATATCTGAAAAATCAATCCTTAATAAGGAAATTTTGTGAAAATTATTTATTTTTGTGTAAATCGGATTTGCCCAAAGATGTTTTTGACCCATCGGAACTATATAAGAAATTATGTAATTTACAGATTTATTTTTATTTTTTTGGAAAATATTAACAAAATAGGAGCCCGTTTGTTTTGTGTGCATATCATAATTATATTTGACAGAAAAGTTGTCTTCGTTTTAAATTTTTGTGCCTACAGGAGCTAAATATTTAGTTTCACGTATTTTATTGTTGACAAGGCCAGGCGCCATTAATATTTTATGTCCCCAATATTCTTATAGGTATCTATTCATTTTGTTTTTAATGTGATGAGTTGCCAAATACAATAACACCAATAATAAACCAAAAGTGCGAATTTGGTGCAATATATTAAACCTGGAACGTCCTTCATTTGGTTTGGTATTTGTTTTTAGGTTAGTCATGGTTTACCACGTTTAGTAAACGTTCAAATCTGGTTGTGTAAGTAAGGCCATCGTACCAAATTTCAGCGCTATGTGACAATTTTAATTTTTTTTTACTTTTTGAAAAATCCCGCGCGACGTTTTCAGGCCAATAAGTCATTAAGTAATTAACGAAAAAAAAATCCGCTGGGGCATTATGAGAGGAATAAATGGGCTGCCGATTGTCGAAAACTGTCACCAAATATTTGGCCCCGTTTAGAAATTACAGCGAATGCAAGAAAGGGGTAGTTTTCGAAGCAATTTACAACTTCCTCGCACATTAGACAAGTTCGTGCTCGCTTAATTTTCAAGCAAAACATTCGAACAAAAAAGCATTGGAGGGTGCATTTCATCAGCAATAATGTGGTGTTTGAAAAATTGAAATCGGATTAGGCATTCGGCCGCTGCTGCAACAAATGCGCGCAAAGTGGCAAAACGTTGATTCAGTGGCCTTGAACAAAAACATGCTAATATTCAAGACGCTGCAGAAAAAAAACTATAGAAGATAGAGGGGTGCTGTCCCTGAGTTTTTATAGCGAAAAACTTCAGCTAAAACATTCATTTGAAACTTTTTGCTATTGGACCATCCCTTTGAGTAGCGTTCTCCATAAACTGCAAATTACCCCTAAAAACCACCCTTAACTGAAAACCCTATGGAAGTACAAGGTCGCAAACTTAATATGTTGTTTAGCATATTAAAATGGACCGATCCCCCCAAAAAAATTTCAACTTCTATTTATGTTGAGGTAACCCCTCTTTTCAGATCCCCGTTTCTTGGACTATTAGTTTTCAACCGATTTTTTCTGTTGAGGTCCTAAAATGTTCGCAAAATGATGAATTTATTAAAAAAAAACTTATACAGGGTGTCACAAAAAAGTTCCAGCGCTATTTAAAACTAGGCAATTTTTGTAAAAGTCCGCCATTTTGATTTTTTTTCAAATATCAAAAGTTTCACTCTGATTCGTTAGCCTGTTCATTTCTCTTTCAAACAAGCCAAAACAAAAGAAAATTGGTCAGCAAATAAAAAAGTTACAGTTCAAGAACAAAATTCCGGTTTTTTTTTGGAGGACCACCCTATACATTCATCGTGACTGTTCCTGATTTTGAAGGCAGTGTCCTTCAAAGTTCAATAGCATTTATGACGTTTTTACATTACCATTTTTCTAGTATTTGAATTATGTCATGAGACTCATAACAGAACAATTTTTCGCTTTGTAGATAAAACGTTGTACATCATACGTGCATTTAAACATAACCACAGATCACCTAATACAGATGCGTAAGTACGTATACTTGCCGTCGACGATATTCTGTGACGAAGCCGGGCTGCCAGCAATCCTACGCTTAGATAAAGATCGCCCGCATCAGGATAATTAACGTGGCCGAGTGCGTGAGCATGTTCCAGCCTGTGTGTTTACATATTTTTGCGCGTAGAAAAAAAAATATTTTTTTGCTGTTTGTGAACCAATTAAAGAAATAATATTATATTATTGAGCTTCCGCATTTATGTAATAAATATGTTCAAAATACATTGATGTGGCATTGGTGCGGCCAGCCTATGTCTATCAAATTAATCTTGAACCGCGAATTCGCCGCACTTTCGCATCTGTATGTAGGTAATCTGTGACATGACTACAAAACTCGTGAGATGAGAATGACTCGGTCTACGATCTCGTTTTAATCTTTCACACTCGTTATTGTAATCATGTTTATAAACGCACTTGTAATGTAAATAACTATCATTACCTATTTGCATTCTGTTTCAATTTTGTGGGCTTATTGTGGTCTGTTTATTTCTCTTGTCCTTTCTTATCAGCCGAATTAGCATTAACAATAATTATTGTTTTCATTTATTATTGGAACAATGAACGTTTTGCAAAATCTGAATAGGTACCTACATAGACTTTATTACAGGTCCTTAACCTAACCTAAACTAATTATTATAGTGTAAATATTAGCAATACAAATACTTGGATAAATCTTGAAGTCAAAGTGCTTATTCACAGTTGCCAACATCTATACCATTTTTAATAGAGACGCTAGCTATCGTTCTGTATTTTTTCAAAAGTCCACGAAATAACTCATTTGCAGAATCAATTTTAAGGTTTACTAAACAAGATTTTTTAGGTTACCACCCTTGAAAATGGCCAGATCTTTTTTTAAGCTTTTTTCCATGGTAAATTTAGGACTAATTCGATCATTTTTGCAATTACAATAAATTCTAGGTGACAAAACACAGAATAAGAGAAAATGCACGTTTCTCCATATTTTAAATATGTCATACTTAATGTGGCAATACTGCTTGCCTACTCGTGGCGCACGATCCATGCACGATGCTTAACACGAACTTTTTTTTAATGCTTGAAGCGACCTAAAAAACACCCCCCCCCACATTAACATTTGAGCAAATCTGCCCCTGAGGATGAAGATCTGCTTGTCTCGTAACACGTAGAGCTCGGTCAATTTATTATAAAGTATTTGTGGAGTAAGACTTTGAGTTTTTCTTTTTCTTTGCGACGTAATGTGCTAACAAACCTACATTAGCTTTTTACTCAAGCGTGACTCTTACCGAGGTTGTAGAGCTAATAAGAATCCTAGGCACCTTGCATGAATTTTTTTTATTGCTGATTTTGTTACTCAATAAAAAATAAGTCAACACGTGTTTTTTTTTTTTCTTGTTAGTCAAAAATTGACGGAGATACATCGCTTTGAAATGTACTTATATTTTTCATATCCTATGACGTCACACATGCTTAATATATCTATATATACAAAACTTAATATTTGTATAACTTTCGGAATAATCATTTTTGAACAAAATAAAAAAATACGTATAGATTTTTTTTCGATTTCTTACAGTTTGCAATAAACAATAATCAATTTAATTTTTCATGTAAGGTCCCTATTATGAAAAATTTTGCGATGAATACATTATAGAACATTCATGGGACGATATGCGGATTCCTCAACCGCTTCTAACTTTTTTTTCAGCTTTAACGGAAATCAGTTTTACGGAGAGAGTGATCGTTGATTCTGAGAGTAACGAGTGACGATGATTTAGACTTTCCCAAGAGATACAGAAAAGGAGCATCTACAAGAAAAATACCTAAAACATCAAATGCACTGATTCAAACAATGTATTTTATTCTACATGACGGGAAAAAGGACTTCTCTGCACACTATGACAGCCTTAGCAGTTCACAATGCCTAGTAGTGCCTTGATTAAGAGCTTAAATCATACCGGTATGAGTATTTCCTATGACAAACTACAAAGATGTAGAACAAACTTGGCAGCTTTCACTGTAGAATCTGATAAAAACAATGTACCAATTCCATCACTTTTTGACCATTCTAAACTTACCACTGCAGAAGATGGAAGAAGATAGAATCTCAAGTCTTATACCGAAATCAGTGGACAATATGTTTCCTTCAGTCGAAGAATTAGTTCCGAATTGCAACTGTGGTAAATTTTCGCGTAAAAAAATGTTTTGCCGGTCAGCTGGATTAACATGTTGTCCTATTTGTCACTGTCGCGTAACATCTCAGTGTACTAATACTTATGCTTATGATGCATAACTCCATTTTTACTTTTTTTTTCATTTTAGTTCTCCCTACCTGATTTCTTTTGTTATATACTAATATTTTGGACCACCCTGTATAATACCAATAATATAAATATTTTACAGATGTATTGTAAGTTTTTCTCCACAATAACAACACATTTGACCTTACATCTTGAGTAAATAAAGGACATTCATATACTTATATCATATTTGTAGCTTTAATACTTACATGACCACCCTGTATAAAAACCAAACTGGCCATTTTTGGGCTTGGTAACCAAATGATATTGAATATGTACGTCCCAGACAACATAATACCACAAAAATAATTCGTCGCTCCTCAAAAACACAGGATGTTACCTAGCGTATCCAAATCCAAGCGGCAGTAAATGATATTAAATAACCTAAATTGTACTTAAACAAACACCAGCCTTCCTATTGGTTGAAACGCCCTACCTGGACCAACGCGCATGCACGAAGGACATTTGATAGGTTGTAATGAAAATGACCAGTTAATGTCATTACAGCCGCTTGGATTTGGTTCAACCATAGATATTGTCTTTTAGGTACCTACGCCATACAAAAGTTGAACTTGAAAACGAGGATAGGTTCAAAAATTAATGTCAAAGTTGGATTGCTCCCATAGACATTTTGCTCCCTTGACAAAAATAGTATATTGTGTATTTCGGTGTTTGTCGGCCTCGGCTACGCCTCGTCCGTCAACTTAAACCGTCGGCCGAGAATGTGTCACTTTTCCACCGAAATACACATACTATTTTTTCTGCGATCGGTTAAATACCTGTTAAATCATAAATGTTTGTCTTTTGGTTCCAATTATTCAGCAGTACTAGAATCACTTTCCCGGCCTAGGCCGGAAAAGTGTTTCCCGTATTGTTATACACTGATTCCTTAGCAACTATTGAAACATAATTAAAATACCAGAATATTGAGTTTTGCGACCTGTCAACCGGTCAAAAATGCTGACATTTCTTGTCAATCGCAGAAAAAATACATTGACTTGTTCGTTTTTTGAATGTACCTACATATTAGGATAATGTGGCGTATGGAGCATTTTGTGAGCTTTGAAATTGTAGAACGAAAATAGAACCAAAGATACTGAAAAAGATTGAAATTGAATTAGGGAAGTCATGGGAAAAATAAGGGAAAAATATACCAAAAATAAACTTAGCAAGAACCATATTACAGTAAGCATCAACACACAACGCAACTTATACCACAATCATTAATTTGACTTGACCATCGAAATCCACAAAGCATCAAATCTCTCAGAGGAGGCGGATGCAAGCTGGGTATAGGTATAATAACAATAAAAAGCGCCCTATATTTAGACCAATTTCTGGTATGTCCCCAAATCTGAAGCCATACAAAAAAATGTTCAAGATCTCATGGTTTCAATAAAACCTTCGAAGAAGAGCTGCGTCTGAACATCTGCAGAATCGATTGAATAAACCCTTATGAATCTGCATATACAGAAAACTACAAAAGGACCAATTGTAAGCGACATGCGATAGTTCGCAATGTAAAGAGTGAAAAGTTGGTTTAAGTGAAAGCTCAAAGTACTGTACTTGGCAACGTTGTAGAAGTCTGACTGTTCTATAATAGTTTTCTCGTCATACTGTACTGTTATCTTACTCAGGGCCGATCCTAGGGTGTCGGCCGCCCACGTGCAAAGAGCAATTTCGCCGCCCCATAACAAAGACCCCCATAAAGATATAGCCCTCCGTACGTAGGTATGTGCCGGTGGTGGTAGCCCGCCCAAAAGCGCTCATTTTGAGCCTCAAAATGAACGTTTTTGGGCGTTTTAAGTTAAAAAAAACTTGTTTGGAACATATTTGTTTTCTATGGGTTTTTTGAATGCGGGTGAGTGGTGATCAATAATAATAATAATAATAATACTATCCTAAAACTAAGAGGAGCCTGGGCTTGGGCCTGGGTAGGAAAGTAAAAAATAGGGCCCTGTGGAAAATCAAGACACCCCAGTCCCTAGTCGTAATACTTACTTACATAATATACCCACCTGCACTTGGAAGTCTTTAGTACCAAAAAAGTTGGTAACATTGTTAGCGGGAGTATTCACCTAGTTCTGTTGGACAGTTAGTAATTATTCTTGCAGAATTGGGAACAAAAATTGACTGTGCACTGAACTTTCTATTCATCCTATCAGGAGATCGGGGTTTATTTTTATTCTCCTGGGGTGTGTGCAGGCAGGTAGAATTCCGTAGTAATAAGTGAGTTTACATGGAGAAATATTAATTGCAGAAAGAATAGAGAAACATTTTGAACTGGCCTAAATTTAAAAAAAAAACATGTATAAAAAGAAACAGATTCAATAGTTGGAAAAAGGGTTATATCTTAGAAATTAAATTTAAGTTTGAAAGGCCTATCTATACCTCTGCCATTCACAAATCTTTCAGTTGTTTTTTTATCAGTTATCACTACATAATATAACTAGTTTACATAAATACAAAATGCTGAAAACTTACCTCTGGTCCTGCAAAATAGTCATTGATTCCATAGCTAATGATAATTGGTACTTCGCCAGATATCGATCTTAAATTATAGAGCGGAGGTTTGAACTGACCATACACTATCAAATTTTTGAAGAAATCGTAGTCATAGAATTGAAATCTTTCTGAAACAATAATTTTATTTTAATCTTTGCTTGAATATTCTTAAAAATACTATGTTTTTCTTTTTGTTTTAACACGTAGGTATATAATATTTAAATAACCTACCTGCCTGGTGCGATTGAAGCATATGTAAGTAGGTTTTGAAGGAGCTTCCAGATGGATCGTTTGTCATATATACAATAAGTTTAGACTAAAACAGATTTTTTTTTTTAAATTTCGGTTGGTTCCCTTTATTATTTAAATGTTATCACACAAATGTAGTGTTAAATAATATTTTAGGTACAAACCTTATCTATTTGACTACGGTCAGGTCCAAAGTCATCCTGAAGAGCTACACATTTGTCTAAGAATGGCGACTTTTCGTGACAAAACATAATTGACAGCCACATTCTGAGTTGACTAAATTCATTCGCCACATTTTTCTTTCCTTTGAGGATATGCTCGTCCTGCAATAAATAATAATATCGGATTTTTCGTGCCTAACGGCAATGAAAATTAAAATACATACCCTTACTTCTCTCCAAGGTTTTGGATCTATCGTTGTTCGGGCATACTTCTTATAAACTACGGGTGCCCAGGCGTGTGCCGAATCTATTCTTTTTAGATATTCAGGACGAATTGTAGCAAATGCGAGAAAAATTAATCCTCCCATTGAGTGACCAATGAAGGATAATTTTTCATTACCTGTTACATTTCTAATATGGTCCATGTAAGCGGGGATATCGTAATAAGCGATTTCATGGAAACTAAAATAATATTAGATAAATGGGTAGGTAGTCGAAATTCAGTAATTTAGGATTAACTGGGGCATTCTTCTTTGAACAAAGAAAGCGCTTGGGAACCAACTGAACAAATATTGTTCCAGTAGGTACGTAGGTACTGGTTGATAATGTGCAATTTTATTTATCTACCAAGGCAGTAAAGTGATTCTTTATCGAACGAATCTGAAATTATGAGTCGAGCAAGCGAGGCGAGTTCGATAAAGACACTTTATTGACATGGTACGATATAAATTAATTCTTGAAGTCGAAGGAGTTTCATTTGATAACGTTTGAGACAAGTTTCACCATTAATTTTGCAAATCCAATAAATCATCCGACTTACCTAAAATCCCAGTATTTTGCATCTTTTGAAGTCAAAAACTCATGTTTTAAGCTGTAAACGCAACCCCTTGATGCCATAATCCAAACATCGAACCCTGCTTCCACTAACATCATTGCGATGGAATCATTCACTTGAAATAAGAAGTTACATTTTTTCACAGAGCTGCGAAACGATTGGTAAAATTTGTTATCTTACATTGTACCATAAAAAGTTGAGGTTGGCTAGCATATCCGTGAACAAGCAAAACACAAGGTTTTTGTTTGTTGCTTGGAATTTCGCCTCGTGCACGTGGTAATCTTATCGCATTTATGTGATATCCGTCAGGAGTGACCACGGTATGGTTTTCGTAAACCCAATCGTGGCTTTCCAAAAATTCGTACTGAAAGTAAATAGGTTTTTTTGTTTTTAAGAGCAAAAATCGTAGTGCCTATACTCACTAAATGTTTACCAGTATCGGAATCCATAAAACTAGGTAACAAAAAACCATGGCTAAATCTCAAAATGTGGAATAATGTTAACCACTCAAAAACATTAAACCGCATGGTTGTTGAAAAATGTAAAACCTTTTAGTTTGAATTTAAACGAACAATTAAAAATGCACTTTTTAATTCGACGTTTTTATTTTTGTCTTATCTACCTATTCAGATTAAATTTAAATACAATTGCCATCGAACCCTAATTTTAGGAACCCGGAGTTTTCCGCTGGCTCCAATGTAGAAATTTAGGATTATTCCTAGGCCTTGTACCTATTATTCGGTATAAAGTAAAAGTAAAACTCGAAATAACGTGAAAGTGTAGTTTATTTCAAATCTGTACGAAACTGATTTTTTCTACAAACGTGTTAAAAATGCCATTTTTTCAAAAAATTTCAAACTCGGGAAATTTCCTATCAAAATATAACACGTGCATAAGATATTTCCTAAGGGAAATTTTTAAAAATTTTGTCTTTAGTCAATTTTTTTAAACCCAGAAAAAAAAATTTTTCAGGCGCTATGCACTCATGATTTTGTTAAAAAATTGGCTTTAGATAAAATTTTCAAAAATTTCCAGAAATATTTTATGCACTAGTTATATTACCAGTGGAAATATGCTTCCAATTTATTATTTATTAAAAAAATCCAATTTGTTACTGGTTATTGCTTTTTATTGCCGTTTGTAGAAAAAATATTGTATGATATTTGTGTTAAAAGTATTTTTAAGGCACTTATGTGAATTGCAGAATTCGCTTCGCTCATTCTGTAAACTTTCACATGCGTGCCTTAAAAATGTACTTTTAACACTTATATCATAAATAACTATTACAAAGCGACCGTTACAACCCGACTGTTCACTATCGTGCTGTTGTAACCCCACATATTACCTAGTTCTTTATGTACATTAATAATAGGTTATTTAGGTTAAGCTTTCTATTCTATATGTTACAATTACAATTTTCCTTCTTCTATTTTTCTCGACCCTATTACTTTATTATTATTTAATTGTTGTTGACCGTTCCATCAAATAAACCGGGGAAATTGTCCCATAAAACCCTTAAAATAATATTAATATTATTTACTATTGTTGAAAGCTTATTTAGTCTATATGGATGTTTTATAGCAGTGAACTACTTTTGTACCATCATAAAAGTTCCCAATGGGTTTTTCCTAAAACCTTAAACAGCCCATTTTTGTAGGGTGAATAAGGAAACGGCCAGAAGGAACAGTCAGTAACCTCCTAGCTCAGTTACGAGCAAGTTGTGCCTTGAAATATTTTTACTTCAGAATAAAGAATAAATAATTGAAGGAAAGTCTTGAAGTGTTTCTTTTCAAACCATATCACATCGGCGGTAACGAGGTTATTAAAACCACAACAACAGTGCTATCGATGTTGAAATACGACTCTTTAACTCTAATTCTAAAAATTAAAAGTAACCTAAAGGACAAGGGCACCATCTGGAAAAATAAAATTAGGGAAAAGTACTGTGTCTTTGGCGGCAAGGACACCCTTCATGGGTTATATTTATTTATACTTATGTTATTTACAAAAATTTGGGCTCCTGCAATAGAGGTACTGGGTACCGACCATGGACATATAATAAAAGAGGAGACAGAACATCTCAATCAAAAATCATTATTTGTTTACAATCATACATACTGCCAGACTTATGCATAAGTTAGAAAAAGATGGGCTTAAAAAATGGCACCACTGTAACCAGCCCCTCCATTTCCCCGGATGCCTTTATCAGAGGCGTGCGGTTTTTCTAGATCGTGAAAAATTAAGAATACAAATGTTGGAATCTCCTAAAATAATATTATATCGCATATTATCATTTCTTTTATTTATTTGTGTATTCAAGAAAACTTTATAATAAATTAGTATTTGCTTAATGTCCTCTAAATATACAATTAAACACACCACATAACCTCACGTACCGTCGAAATTAGGGAATCCAAACCACGTGACTTTTGTCAACCAGCCGGCATTTTGAAATTTTTATGAGGTTAGAATCAGTGATGTGCCTGTAGACAATGTCAACGTAAACAATTGATTGTCTACGCGTAGACAATTCGAATTGTTTACGTGAGCATTTGTCTACACATTGTCTACATGCGGCGTAAACAATATTTTATTATAAAAAATTCGAAAAAAAATATCAAAAGTTACTAAAATATCACTATCACTTCGATATTAGCATTCACTGATTATAAAATATCAGAAAAACCAATAATAAAATAAAAATAATTTAAAAAAAGGAAAGTGTGAGGTTAGAATTAAACGTCATTTATATTATTTTACATTGTTGACACGTTGTCTACATTGTCTACATTGTCTACATTATCTACACGTAAAGTAGACAATGAAAGTCTACGTGTAGACGCACATCCCTGGTCAGAATACGGGTTGTTACCAGTGATGTGCCTGTAGACAATGTCAACGTAAACAATTGATTGTCTACGCGTAGACAATTCGAATTGTTTACGTGAGTATTTGTCTACACATTGTCTACATGCGGCGTAAACAATAACTTATTTTAAAAAATTCGAAAAAAAATATCAAAAGTTACTATACTATCACTATCACTTCGATATCAGCATTCACTGATTATAAAATATCAGAAAAACCAATAATAAAATAAAAATAATTTAAAAAAAGGAAAGTGTGAGGTTAGAATTAAACGTCATTTATATTATTTTACATTGTTGACACGTTGTCTACATTGTCTACATTGTCTACATTATCTACACGTAAAGTAGACAATGAAAGTCTACGTGTAGACGCACATCCCTGGTTAGAATACGGGTTGTTACCAGTGATGTGCCTGTAGACAATGTCAACGTAAACAATTGATTGTCTACGCGTAGACAATTCGAATTGTTTACGTGAGTATTTGTCTACACATTGTCTACATGCGGCGTAAACAATAACTTATTTTAAAAAATTCGAAAAAAAATATCAAAAGTTACTATACTATCACTATCACTTCGATATCAGCATTCACTGATTATAAAATATCAGAAAAACCAATAATAAAATAAAAATAATTTAAAAAAAGGAAAGTGTGAGGTTAGAATTAAACGTCATTTATATTATTTTACATTGTTGACACGTTGTCTACATTGTCTACATTGTCTACATTATCTACACGTAAAGTAGACAATGAAAGTCTACGTGTAGACGCACATCCCTGGTTAGAATACGGGTTGTTACCAGTGATGTGCCTGTAGACAATGTCAACGTAAACAATTGATTGTCTACGCGTAGACAATTCGAATTGTTTACGTGAGTATTTGTCTACACATTGTCTACATGCGGCGTAAACAATAACTTATTTTAAAAAATTCGAAAAAAAATATCAAAAGTTACTATACTATCACTATCACTTCGATATCAGCATTCACTGATTATAAAATATCAGAAAAACCAATAATAAAATAAAAATAATTTAAAAAAAGGAAAGTGTGAGGTTAGAATTAAACGTCATTTATATTATTTTACATTGTTGACACGTTGTCTACATTGTCTACATTGTCTACATTATCTACACGTAACGTAGACAATGAAAGTCTACGTGTAGACGCACATCCCTGGTTAGAATACGGGTTGTTACCAGTGATGTGCCTGTAGACAATGTCAACGTAAACAATTGATTGTCTACGCGTAGACAATTCGAATTGTTTACGTGAGTATTTGTCTACACATTGTCTACATGCGGCGTAAACAATAACTTATTTTAAAAAATTCGAAAAAAAATATCAAAAGTTACTATACTATCACTATCACTTCGATATCAGCATTCACTGATTATAAAATATCAGAAAAACCAATAATAAAATAAAAATAATTTAAAAAAAGGAAAGTGTGAGGTTAGAATTAAACGTCATTTATATTATTTTACATTGTTGACACGTTGTCTACATTGTCTACATTGTCTACATTATCTACACGTAAAGTAGACAATGAAAGTCTACGTGTAGACGCACATCCCTGGTTAGAATACGGGTTGTTACCAGTGATGTGCCTGTAGACAATGTCAACGTAAACAATTGATTGTCTACGCGTAGACAATTCGAATTGTTTACGTGAGTATTTGTCTACACATTGTCTACATGCGGCGTAAACAATAACTTATTTTAAAAAATTCGAAAAAAAATATCAAAAGTTACTATACTATCACTATCACTTCGATATCAGCATTCACTGATTATAAAATATCAGAAAAACCAATAATAAAATAAAAATAATTTAAAAAAAGGAAAGTGTGAGGTTAGAATTAAACGTCATTTATATTATTTTACATTGTTGACACGTTGTCTACATTGTCTACATTATCTACACGTAAAGTAGACAATGAAAGTCTACGTGTAGACGCACATCCCTGGTTAGAATACGGGTTGTTACCAGTGATGTGCCTGTAGACAATGTCAACGTAAACAATTGATTGTCTACGCGTAGACAATTCGAATTGTTTACGTGAGTATTTGTCTACACATTGTCTACATGCGGCGTAAACAATAACTTATTTTAAAAAATTCGAAAAAAAATATCAAAAGTTACTATACTATCACTATCACTTCGATATCAGCATTCACTGATTATAAAATATCAGAAAAACCAATAATAAAATAAAAATAATTTAAAAAAAGGAAAGTGTGAGGTTAGAATTAAACGTCATTTATATTATTTTACATTGTTGACACGTTGTCTACATTGTCTACATTGTCTACATTATCTACACGTAACGTAGACAATGAAAGTCTACGTGTAGACGCACATCCCTGGTTAGAATACGGGTTGTTACCAGTGATGTGCCTGTAGACAATGTCAACGTAAACAATTGATTGTCTACGCGTAGACAATTCGAATTGTTTACGTGAGTATTTGTCTACACATTGTCTACATGCGGCGTAAACAATAACTTATTTTAAAAAATTCGAAAAAAAATATCAAAAGTTACTATACTATCACTATCACTTCGATATCAGCATTCACTGATTATAAAATATCAGAAAAACCAATAATAAAATAAAAATAATTTAAAAAAAGGAAAGTGTGAGGTTAGAAT